TATGTCATTATCATTGTGGGATTAAGTGTAGAGCTCGCTCATTCTAGTGAGTAGCCTATACATAAAATTAAATTCTTTATGGACAATAATCAGTATTGCTCTCGTAAAGTGAAATCCTTGGTGTGAATAATAAGTTTCCATTTACGGAGGAAATACTGGTGTCTTTTCCCAACGAAATAATATGTATAGATACATCACCAGAATGAGCGGGCCCTATACTGTTTCCGATAAAAGAACTAAAAACCAAGTTGGGCAAGAAACTATTTCTTGTGCCGTCTTTTGTACATGTATTACTTTTCTCACGTAGATACCAAATCTAACACTTGTTCGATGGAATCCTTCGTGATTTCTCAAACTAAAACATTTGTTACATGAAACGAACAACGTCTTATTGTATGGTTCCAGACAAATAAATTTAAAATATTATTGCAGGCAATCTTTGCTTTCTTTACAGTACTCTCTTAATTTATGCGTATTTAAACTGACGGATATAAATGAAATATCTTAAGATATAAATAACAGGACGGATACATGTTTCACAAAAAAATTTCAGTAAAGTGACATTATCCACATTTTTCATTGTCAAATTGAGTTGAATAAGCGTTGTATTTAAAAAAAATGACTATTGTTATCCTGATTGTCCAACGATTGATAATGAAAAACGTCAAAGATAAAATAAAAAACGGCCTTACTTATTGAATCTTTCTAATGTCAAATAGACAAAAAAAAAAAAAACTGTGCTACAGATTATGGTTTTTATTTGTTTTGTTTTTTTAAATAATTTCAGCTAAATGTTCCCCTTTTTAGTTGTTAAATCAAACAAATTTTAAAGTACATAGAATTCAAAACAAGTTTATAACCAGACAAGTTTGACAGTTACATTTAGATTGATGTTCGTCCAATTTATCCTTCGTATAGCAGTATGATAGCAATATCGACAAGAATAAACAAGAAGTATCTTTTAAAGCGATACTCGGCCGTAGTAAATCTGTTTAACGTGCAAAAATATGTTATTTCTAAGTTTTCAATACAAAATAAAATGTTAGAAATGCTTGCATAAGAATGACATGATAATCATTTTTTGAAGCTATGAAGAAAATACCCATTTCGTAAACATTGATATTAAATTATAGCATATTTGTATTAGTGATTTTTCAAAGAAAAAAACATGTCTTTAAAGTGTCTCATTTACTTGTTTTACGTACGACTTTATAATTTTTAATTCAATTACAAATTATTCTAGAGTTTAAAACAAAAACAAACCTCATTCCTGTATATATTATTTCAGAACAATCCTCTACATTTTATTTTATAGTGGCAAAACTATCCCTTACATTTTATTATAGAGCTATTCTTAAAATTGTATTTTAGAATGGTAATAACTATCCTTTACATTTTATTTTAGAATAATTAGTACTGTCCTTTACATTTCATTTCAGAATGACCAATGAGTTTCACCGATTTCAGTGTGTAATTTTAAAATGACCAATAAAAATTCTTCATATATTCAGTTCTCCCCTGATCATTTTACAGGAGGTCAAACTGATAACAGTTTAAGTTTCCTTAAATTGTACTGGTTGTAATTTATTCGAATGTGCGATTCAAGTTCCAAACAAATCTAGTATGTTTTCTGAATTGAAAGTTGTCGTCCTTGTTTTGAAAGGAAATTATTATTTGTGTGATTAATATCTTTATTTTCAAAATATCTTTTACAATGTAATGCTTTCTCCAAGGCCTCATGTTTTGTTTTGCTAGATGCGCAATACATAATATACAATATCAGACTTGAAGTAAATATTGACCACTGGTCAAAAGCATGTAAAACAGTATTATCATAAATTGAATGCTTTGTACAGAATTAAATGGCATTATCAAACAAATATTTACGTTCAAAGCCGATGGAACTAAATTTATTTTAATGTCGCCTTTCCTTGATGGCGACATATACAATTAACAAGATTTGACCGTTTCCACACTCAAACAGCCTGTTTTAAGCCAATGAAAATGAAAACATTAATACCACATGATGACAAAATGCTGATAGGATTTGCAATCAGCTATGCTTTTGTAAGGTTATCTATATTTAGAATTACAATACTTTCTTATGTTTAAAGCTCGAAACCAGTTTGTAGACTTCCTCGGGGTTTAAGCTAGGTGTCAGGTAGGTGTCTATTTCACAACGAAAAATTGATTCCTGACAGAACGGATATTTCTAGCGTCTCAGGAAATACTAAAACTTGATACTTTACGATACATGAACAATCTTCGTTGCCAGTAGCTACTTTTATGAAGGAGTCGTAATTTGCTCATTTTCATATTGGTGGAAGCATACGTTTACAATAAACTATAAGGCAAAGCAGAATCAGTATTAAATCTTACAAGTCCACAGTAAACTTTTTAAACAAGTACTTTGTGTATTCTGCTGTTTTTAAAAAGAAGTATGCAAGAGGTCTGCAGCGGTGGAAATTTTTTTTGATTATTCAAATGGCGGGAAAGAAGAATTTCTACAATTATTTAACTAGACATTAAATTATTCAACAAATTATACAGTTTTCCGCTTATGTTGAATATACTCACGTAGTTTACTACAAGAGCGATTTTTGTAATCCATAAATATTGTTCCTTTTGCAAGGAATTGATAACCAATATCAATTCCCCACATAAAGCTTACCAATCTTATCTCTATAGTCATACAAATAATGGGCTACTCTTACTCTTAACAAAAGTTGTGTTTTTTTCATCACTTGCATATAACTTATATACTATCTACTTTAGATTCCTTTTCTCATAAGATAATTATATTTATTTAAAAAATCGTTCACAATCTATCAATTGAATTCACAAAGATGGGAATCAAACAACAACAACAACAACAACAAAGAAATGTTTGCCTGATCGCTTCGCCTGTGTTTCAGTAGAACATTTATTTATATGTAAAGGCGATACATGTTTGAAATTATACTAAATAATTATATAACTAGAAATGTGTCCAAAGGACACGGGTGCCCCCACCGCGCCACTGTTTTGTCAATCTTATGACTCTAGGTCAAATATTTTTTGAAAACTAAAAATCTTTTACTAAGTTAAGAGCAAGAACTTTACAAATACTGAATAAATCCACAAGCAAACCCCAAGGTGCATAAGTACACATGCTGACCAACATTCTTGTAAACTTTCAGGCCTACAAGTGAAATACTTTTTGAGCTATGCATGAACAAGTTGAAAATTGCAAATTTATACTACTGTAAGTCAAGAGCAATAACACTAACAAAACTGAAAAAAATCCACATGCAAAGTTCCAGCTTCATAGCTTCACAGTGATGTGAATCATTATTCCTGTATTTTAGTGAACTACACATGCTGATCAACATTCCTTCCTGTAAAGTTTCATGACTCTAGGTCAAATCCTTTTTGAGTTACATGCGACACAAATTGAAAATTGCAAAATTTTACTAAGTCAAGGGCAATAACTCTAAAAGTAATAAAAATATTCAGACAAAAATACCCAGGTGCACAACTTCACATGCTGATCAACATTCCTGTAAAGTTTCATGACTCTAGGTCAAATCCTTTTTGAGTTACATGCGACACAAGTTGAAAATTGCAAAATTTTACTAAGTCAAGGGCAATAACTCTAAAAATACTAATAATATCGACACAAAATTACCCAGGTGCACAACTGCACATGCTGATAAACATTCCTGTAAAGTTTCATGACTCTAGGTCAAATACTTTTTGAGTTACGTGCGACACAAAAGTGAACGGACGGAAGGACGGACGGACGGAAGGACGGACGTTCTCACAGGACAGTAATTATGTGGCTACTCTATTGTTCTCTCTATTGTTCTTTTTAGCCACACAAAAGAAAATAGCCACATAAAAGCATTACGGAATGAATGACATCAAAGAGAAAGAACAGTTACCTATTGTCCCTCTAGCCACATAATTACTCTCCTGTGAGTGCGGACGGACGGACGGAAGGACGGACAAGGGTAAATCTAAATGCCCGCCACAATATTGGGGCACAAAAATGATAATTAATTACGTGTGAGTTTTGTTATTTTACTCTTTAGAATTTATATCCAGTTCCTGGATTTTTTCTTGTACAATGTATATGCGAACAATATTGCACGAGTTCCTTCTTACATAGCAAAATAGAACATTATTTTTGTCACATTTTTCTTTAGTTTTAGCTATTCTTTAATAGCCCTATTAAAATTGTCAAAATTCCAATATTTCTTCGCCTAAATGTAATAATTACTGTTTTAACAATTATCTCCGCGGGCAGTATCAACTTTACTGATCGATTTGTCCGTTTGGCGAACTTTATTTTGAAACATGTCAACATGTCAACACGCAATAGACAGAGGCGATCAAATCTTTCCCAGTGCCTACTATATTTAATATTTTTTAAAGTTTGATTGGTCCAGCATACATTAGTATTTACATGCTTGTTTGTTTTTGGTGGTATTTACTTCTTTTTAATTAGGCTATAAATCAATATGCTTTCTATTGTTGTGCGAAGGTGTACTCAAATTTAACTATTCGTTTCTATGCGTCTTAAATTACCTGTATTTACTAATATTTATCTATAAATTCTTTTATTTTCATACATGCCATACAATGGAATAGTTTTTGAACTACAATCCGATTACAAAATAACTCCATTCATTTCAATAAAAGCGTTTTTGAAAACTGATAGAACTTAAAATAGTAAGACATTTTGTCCGTAACCTTTAAATTTTAAATACCCAATAGATATTTTGAGATTCAAAAGTTAGAGGTTGCCACTTATCAACGTAAGGCACTACTTTGAGAAATAATTAACGGTAGTGTGTACTTGTTATGACATTTACTGGACTTTTTCCAAATTGTTTGACAAATAATTATATTTTCAACAATAAATTGAATAAAATGCAATAGAACTTCAGCAAAGAAGCACGGATACAAATATATTTTAAGTTCGAATTATAAATATTTTGATAACGATTTGTACTGTCAGTTTTAAAAGGCTTTTAAAAGAAACACTCTTATTCGGACAGGATGAGATATGTTCATGTTGCTTACATTATACTACTGTGTATATCATCAGTAAGAATATCATATTGTGCTTCATACAACAATTCAGTCGAGCTGATGCATGATGTACTTGACGGGTATGACGCCCGACAACGCCCCGTGTCAGATCAGAATAATCCGATAGTCGTCACCATCTCATTTAATTTATTAACAGTTCAAGAATTTGACGAAGTCGCAGCAAAGTTTTCAACGTATGGTCTTCTTATAATTGGATGGAGTGATCAAATTATTACCTGGGATCCCGAAGATTATGGATGGGCATACTCGGCATTATTTAGGTTATCCGACGTATGGTATCCGAAACTGGTTCTCACAAATCCGTACACAAAGCTGTCTGACCTTGGAGATGACTGGATGACAATTAGGATATATAACTCCGGGTATACAACATTTGTACCTGGAGCCGTTTTTGACACTTCTTGCAATGTTGACGTCACATTTTACCCGTTTGATACGCAGGTTAGTTATAGATTTATACAATTTAATTTCTCCCATAGAAAAAACATAAATTACATAAATAATTACAGAAACGTTGCAAATACTGTAAGTAACACTAAAAAATGTTTTTTTGTTTTCACTGTTCAGATATAATGGCGATGCAATTATGTACGCTGTCTTTTAACGTATGGGGCTACGTAGGGACAGAAGTATACCTACATCCTAACGTTGATGAAGTACTTTTGGATTATTACTCAGAGAATGGTGAATAGCAGTTGGATTCTACAAGGGTAGAAAGAGTAGGCGGTGGCCATGGCACGTCCGATACGTTAAATATTATTTTCAAGATCAAACGCAAACCAATGTTTTTAATTGTAAACGTAGTTCTGCCAATAGTATTCATGGCAATAATAAATATTTTGGTATTCTTATTACCAGCTGAATCCGGAGAGAGAGTTTCGTATTCCGTTACAGTGTTGCTAGCTCTAGCTGTCTTCATGACTCTTGTTGGAGATAATCTTCCCAAGACGTCAGAACCGATGCCGATCCTAAGCTATTATTTGATGATTCTTTTGATCTTGAGCACGCTCATGACCGTGACAACTATACTGAATCTGAGTATTTATTTTAAGAAAGGCCAGGTACCAGGTTGCCTAAAAAGTATATTCAGATTCGTGTACTGTTTCCGCTGTAGATTCGGACGAAATACTGATAAAAATAACAAGGTTTATCCGATAGACAATACGAATAAGAGGAAAATTCCAGTCGTTACTACCATCAACTCGGATATAGAAGAACCAGACATAACATGGCAAGACATCAGTACATGCATTGATTGGATTGCAATGGCATTCTTCTTTTTTGGGACCATTATTATCAATGCAATTTTCCTATCGACAATGGCAAAAAATAAAGATAGCGCTTTGAATAGCTAATGCTTGATAAAAAGTGTACGCTTGGGTTGCATCGAGACGCTGACAGATGGAACTGTTACAGCGCTTTCTAAAATCGGCAATGATTTTGATGGCCTTATTGAACTTAATATATCTTAAAACAAGTATACAGTCTAACTTGCCCATGCGACCACGTGTATTAAGCGACTTTTGTCTTCAACGACCACTTTAAACTTCCCCCGATCATTTTCTCTCTATATCTTTAATGTATTAAGCGACTTTTGCTCAACGCGACCAGCGACCGCTAATTAGTCACCTAATTGACATCAATCTTTTCATTAAACGACCACTTTTACCTGTCAAGTAATTGTGTTTTAAGAGAACGCCACCTCGTTATGTCACAAGTGTCAGCAATCAAAACACAACAATAAACGTGTGAAAAACTCTATTTCCCATACCGTTTTAGCGTATGCAAATGAAGTTAAGTATACGCGTGACGTGTATTATCCAATAATATCGGATAAACAATGCAACGCTCCGCCCATACTGAGATGGTGTATACGCTTCGCTTGTTGACATTTAGACTGCATTGAATTGACCTTGAACTTGACCAGCCATTAAATTAATAGTAACAAATAGATGTAGTTTGTTTATTTCAAATGAAAAAATGCACAACAGAAAACATCTTCACTAATAGGGTTTTCGTGTTGGAGACAAGGAAAAACAACGGAGAAGTTATAAAATTCTGGAAAAAATGTCAAACATGTACGTAATGGATCAAAACTGTTTTGTCAATAAATATCGGAACGTTATTTTTACATTTGCATCCGTTTAGATAATCGGACCATACTTATTATTCAACATTTATATAAAAATGAAATTGAAAAACAATCCCATCGAATAAAAAAGATGTCATTTATAAATTTTGACTTTTATATCATGCTGACTGTCTTAAGAGACCGTTTCATTAAGCGACCATTTTTGGTGTTTCCCTTGCCCGGTCGCTTAATACACGTTTGACTGTAATTGTACAGATACTGTCAAAATAAGTGACATATGCTCATTGCTTGATCTATCATTTTGTACGTTATACAAGTGTTTAAGAGTGTGTTTCATCGATATTGTTATATACTTCCTACCTTTTTACAGTCTTAATAAGTTTGTGTTAATTGCATTTTAGTCAGTTTCAAAGCTAAGTTCATGTATTATGTCAGCATAATAGTATACAATAATAATGATATGAATAAGCGATAACGATTAAAGATATTACCTTGAAAGAATTATTTAGATAATTTTACAAGATACAAAAGTAATTGGAAGCATAGATGTTAAATTTAAATTTCACTGAGATATTTACTCATTTAGATTTTCATTTATAACTTAGAACATTTTACATTTTTCTTTTACATTTTTTGCAACTTCTTTTTGTGACTTTGAATACCATAACTTAATTTAGAAAACACGTGGCTTGCATCGGTAAAATATCTTGTGTTACACATGGTCTCGAAAAATCTCGAGAAAAGGTGAAATAATAAATTTCTAATTAAACGGATTCAAAGTGAATGACGTCATGGCTTCTTTTTCATGTAAAAATAGCTTTGTGGTAATTCAGATACGTATCTGATAAATATTCATGTCTATTGTTACATATTCAATATTAAAATATTGTCTTTAAATCTGATGAATGCTGGCTTGTTTTTGTTTTGCATTTGTATTTCAAATAATATTTTGCACGCAAGATGTCATTTATTGCTAAAATTAATTGGAGAAACATGTTTTTAAATCTTTATAGCATAGCAATGTCATACACTTGGGATTTGGAGCTCCACATGCCTTCAAATCAAAATATAATGAATATTTGTCAATCCCAGCACTTAAAATTGTCATAAATATCAATAAAACTTCATAAATTGTATACTCTGCTTCGAAAGAAAAATTATATTACAACGTCTGAAATAATACACAAGATAAAAATGTTCGCTGGAAAAAATCCGCTCACATACACTCACATGCCAAAAAAATCACCTTGCTTTTTATTCAATTTCCAGTATTTTCACATTGTTCTTTTGTCCGTTGACGCAGTCCATATTACGGAGCGCTTACTGGACCTTAAATGTACTAGTTCCTGATATCGAGAACGAGCATTACATGACTGTTCTACCGAAATCGCCAAAAAAAGCCTTCGATTTGGCTGAC